CGACTCCCCTGTTGCAACTTGAAAGGAACCCCGAGATCCCCATTGCAATTAGAGAAGAACCCCCAAATTTCCCGCCACAACTCGAGAGAAGGCCTGACTCACCTGTTGCAACTCAAGAGGAATCCCGAGATCCCCATCATAACTCAAGAGGAACTCCGAGTTGCCTGCTGCAAGTCGAGAGGAGATACAACTCACCAGCTGCAACTTGAGAGGCATTCCAAGTTCCCCCTAGCACCATCAGAGGACACCCTGATACCCTATGGCAATTCGAGAGGGACACTGAGATCTCCGGCACAACTCGAGATGAAACCCGAGTTTCCCACTGCAACTTTAGAATAAACCCAGGTTCCCTGTCTCAACTCAAAATGAGGCCCGATTAGCATGCAGAGACTTGAGAGGAACCTTGAGTTCCCCATTGCAACTTGACGGGAACCCCGAGGTTCCTGCCATGGCTCAGGTGTAACCCTGAATCCTATGCTGCATCTTGAAGGGAACACTGAATTCCTGCTGCACCTTGATAGGAGCTCTGAGTCCCCTGCTGCAAATCGAGAGTAATCCTGTGTTTCCCACTGCAACTAGAGAGGAACCACAAGTTCTCACCTGCAACTCAAGAGGTGGCCTGACTCCCCTGTTGCAACTCAAGAGGAATCCCTAGATCCCCATCTCAACTCTAGATGAGGCCCATTTTTCCTACAGAGATTTAAGATGTATCCCAAGTTCCCCATCACAACTTGAGAGGAACCCCCACTTTCCCGCCTCAACTTGAGAAGAACTAGGAGTTCCGCATCTCAACTCAAGAGGAACCCGAACTCAAATGGAGGCCTGACTCTCCTGTTGCAACTCGAGAGGAGCTCAGAGTGTAATCTCCCAACTCTAGAGGAGGCTTGACTCTCCTGTTGAAACTCAGGAGGAAACCCGAGTTCCCTGCCTCAACTTGAAAGGACGACTGACTCCCCTGTTGCAACTCAAGAGGAACATCGAGATTCCCATTGGCACTTGAGAGGAACTGTGAGTTGCCTGCTGAAACTAGAGAGGTGGCCCGACTTGCCTGTTGCAACTCGAGAGGAACCCCAAGTTCCCCCTTGGAACATAAGAGGACGCCCTCCTCCCCTGTTGCAACTCGAGAGGAAACCCCGCCTAAACCTGCGAGTTAGTTTCCCACCTAAACTCAAGAGGAACACCAAGCTTCCCACTGCAACTCTAGAGGGACCCCGATTTACCCCCCTTCAACTCGAAGGCGGCCCAACTCCCCTTTGGCAACTCGAAAGGAAACCCGAGTTCCCTATCTCAACTTGAGAGGAGGCATGATGACCGTGTTGCAACTCGAGAAGACCACCTAGATCCCCGTCACAACTCAAGAGGAACACCGATTTTCCCACCACAGCTAGAGAAGAACCCCAATTTTCCCACCTCCATTCTAGAATGGCCTGATTCCCCTGCAGCAACATGAGACAAATCCAGAGTTCCCCTTTGCAACTCAAGAGGAATTCTGAGTTCCTCATCACAATTCAAGAGAAACACCAAGTTTCCCACCGCAGCTTGAAAGAAACCCCATTTCCCACCGCATCATGAGAGAAACCTCGAGTTCCACACTGCAACTCGAGATGAGGCTCAATTCCCCTGTAGCGTCTTGGGAGGACCCCTGAGTTTCCTCTTGCAACTCGAAAGGAGGCATGACTCCCCTGTTTCAACTCGAGAGGAAAACTGATATCCCCAATGCATTTGAGAGGAACCCCAACTTTTCTGCCACTACACGATAGAAGGCCTGACTCACCTGTTTCAACTCGAGAGGAACCCCGAATTGTCTGCTGAAATTCGAAGGGAGACATGACTCACCAGCTGCAACTTGAAAGGCACTCCAAGTTCCCCCTCGCACCATCAAGGGGGCGCTACTACCCTGTGGCAACTCAAGAGGAACACTGAGATCACTGGCATAACTCAAGAGGAACCCCGAGTTTCCTGCTGCAACTTTAGAATAAACCCAGGTTCCCTGCCTCAACTCGAGATGAGGCCAAATTCACGTGCAGAGACTCAAGAGGAACTTTGAGTTTCCCGCTATGGCTCAAGTGTGAACCTGAGTCCCACACTGCATCTCGAGGGGAACACTGAGTTCCTGCTGCAACTCCATAGGAGCTTTGTGTCCCCTGCTGCACATCAAGAGTAATCCTGTGTTTCCCATTGCAACTAGAGAGGAACCACGAGTTCCCACCTGCACTCAAGAGGCCTGACTCCCTTCTTGCTACTCGACAGGAAACACAAGTTCCCCACCTCAACTCGAGAGGAGGCCTGACTCCCCTGTTGCAGCTCAAGAGGAACCCTTAGATTCCCATCTCACTCTAGATGAGGCCCAATTCACCTGCAGTGACTTGAGAGGTACCCCGAGTTTCCCTATGCAGCTCGAGAAGAACCACGAGTTTCCTGCCTCAAGTTTAGATGAAGCCCAATTCGCCTGCAGAGACTCGAGAAGTATCCCAAGTTCCCCATAGCAACTTGAGAGGAACCCCTATTTTCCCGTCACCACTCAAGAGGAACCCCGAGTTTCCTGCTGCAACTCGAGAGGAACTCCAAGTGTAACCTCCCAACTCTAGAGGAGGCCCAACTCCCCTGCTGCAGCTCGGGGGGAATCCCGAGTTCCCTGCCTGAACTCGAGAGGAGGACTGACTCCCCTGTTGCAACTTGAGAGGAACACGAGATTCCCATCAGAACTAGAGAGGAACCGGGTTGCCTGCTGAAACTCAAAAAGAGGCTCGACTCCCCTGCTGGGCCTTGAGAGGAAACCCAATTTACCCCTTACAACATCAGAGGACACCCTAATCCCCTGTTGCAACTCAAGAGGAAACCCAAGTTTCCCACGTAAACTCGAGAGGAATGCCGAGTTTCCCACTACAGCTGAAGAAACCCGAGTTCCCCACCTCACCTCTAGATGAGGCCTGATTCCCCTGCAGCGACATGAGATGAATCCCGAGTTCCCCATCACAACTCAAGAAGAATCCCGAATTCCCCATCACAACTTGAGTGGAAAATCGAGTTCCCCCTGGCAACTATAGAGGAACCCCGAGTTTCCTGCCACAACTTGAGAGAAGCACCGAGTTAACTGCCTCAACTCTAGATAAGACCCATTTTGCCTGCAGCTAGTTGAGAGGAACCCCGAGGTCTGCCTTGCAGCATGAGAGGAGGCCCCACTCCACTGTTGCAACTCGAGAGGGAACCCAAGGTCCCAATTGCCTCTTGAAAGGAAGCCCGAGTTTCCCATCGCAACTCAAGAGGAGGCCTGACTCCCCTGTTTCAACTCTAGAGGAACCCCAAGATCCCCATCATAACTCGAGTAGAGCTCGATTTCCCTGAAGCATGTCAGGAACGCCGAGTTCCCCCTTGCAACTCAAGTGGAGGCCTGACTCCCTGATGCAACTCGAGAGGAAACCCGAGATCCCCATTACAATGTAAAAGGAAACCCGCATTTCCCGCCACAATTCAAGAGGAGGCCTGACTCACCTGTTGCAACTTGAGAGGAACACCAAGATCCCTGTCACAACTCAAGAGGAATATCAAGTTTCCCGCCACAACACAAGAGGAACCCTGAGTTACCTGCTGCAAGTCAAGAGGAGATACGATTCATCAGCTGCAACTCGAGAAGCACTCCAAGTTCCCCCTTGCACCATCAGAAGATGTGCTACTACCCTGTGGCAACTCAAAAGGAACACTGAGATCACCAGTGCAACTCGAGAAGAACCCCAAGTTTCCTGCTACAGCTTTAGAACAAACCCAGGTTCCCTGCCTCTACTTGAGATGAGGCCCAATTCACATGCAGTGACTCAAGAGGAACACCGTTGAAGGTCAAGAAGAGCCCCAAGCCCCATAATGCAATTCCAAAGGATTCCCAAGAGAAGCAAACCTCACCACAATTCAAGAGAACTCTACCACAAGAGTGGAAGCCCCATACCATAACTAAAGAGGAGGCCCCGCCTTCCACAACTAGAGAGTATTCTCCTGCATGTCACAACTAGAAAAAGGGTGCATTCTCATCAAAACCAGAGAGGCATCACGCCCATCATAATTTGAGAAGAGCAATCTACTGCAACTAAAGAGGAACCCATGAGCACAAGCAAAGAGGGGCCCCACTGCCACAGCTAGAGAGGAGTCTGCAAATGACAACTAGCTGGGAGCAGACCCACGGCAAATAAAGAGTGGCCCCTTAGTGCAATTAGAGTGGAGCTCCATGCTGCAACTAGAGAGAAGCCTCCTGCACATTGCAACAAGACAGGGTCCGCCTGCAGATCGCTCCTATAGAGGATCTTCATCACTGCAGCTAGAGAGGAGGCTATACAACAACTCTAAAGAACTCTAAAGAAACCCCAACTCACCTGCTGCAATTTAAGAGGTACCGTGAGTTTGCCACTACAATTTGACAGGAGCGCTAGGCTGTAACAAGAAAAGGCGCCAATGGACAAAATGACAGGGAGGTTCCTCGGCCAAAACTGAAGTGGATTCCCCAGGCACAATGAGAGTGGAGGCCCCCAGGATACCACACCTAGAGAGAAGCCTTTCTACCACAAATAGAGATGAGCTCCCTGAAGTAAGTCATGTGGAGGCCCTCACAACTAGAGAGAAGCAATACCTCTAATATTAGCGAGGAACTCTTAGTGCCAAAAGTAGAGAGGACCTCTGCCATAGAACCACCCACAGCCCAACTGAGAAGACACAGCCCCACACTTCGAGAAGAGTCCTTCACCACAACTCGAGAGGAGCCCGCTGGACATCACACATAGAGAGGAGATGCTCTGCTGCTAACAGAGATGAACCTCACATCACACGGAGTGCACACCACCACTAGAGAGAATCAAACCCACCATAACTACAGAGTTGAATCTGACCACAAAGATAGAGAAGTTCCATGATAAAAGAAGTGAGTAGCCTCAGAACATTGCAACAAGACAGGAGCCACCCTGCACATCCCTGCTAGATACGAATTGCCCCAAGACAACTCAAGAGGAGGNATTCGAGAAAAACACCATGGCTCCGCCTCATCTTGAGATGAGGCCCGATATCTCTGCAGCCACTCAAGAGAAACATATAGGTCCCTCTAGCAACTCGAGAGGAGGCCCAACTCACCTGTTGCAACTCAATCGCAGACCTGAGATACCCATCACCTCTTGAGAGGAAGGCCAAGTTTCCTACAGCAACTGGAAGGAGGCCCAACTCCCCTGTGGCAAATCGAGAGGAGATCCAAGTTCCCTACTTCAACTCAAAAGAAGCCCTGATGACCCTGTTGCAACTTGAGAGGAACACCTAGATCCCCATCGCAACTAGAGAGGAACACCGAGTTTCCCACCACAACTCGAGAATGACCCCGACATTCCCACCTCCATTTGGATGAGGCCTGATTCCCCTGCAGCAACATAAGGTGAATCCCGAGTTCCATCGCAACCCAAGAGGAACCCAGAGGTTCCCACCGCAGCTTGAAAGAAACCCCATGTTTCCCACTGCATCATGAGAGAAACACCGAGCTCCATGCTGCAACTCGAGATGAGGCATGATTTCACTGTAACATCTCAAGAGGACCCCCAAGTTTCCCAATGCAACTCAAGAGGAGACCTGACACCCCTGTTTTAACTCAAGAGGAATACTGAGTTTCCCACTGCAATTTAAGAACTCCAAGTTATCAGCTGAAACATTTAATGAGCCACAAGCCCTCTGACACAACTAAAGAAGATTCCCAAGAGGAGACTCCCCCACCACAACTTGATAGGAGAACTCTACCACAACAAAAGAGGAAACCCCATACCACAACTAAAGAGGAGGCCCCCATTCCACAACTAGAGAGTGTCCTCCTGCACATCACCACTAGAAAAAGCACCCCTTTTCATCACAACCAAACAGGAATCACACCATCACAATTTGAGAAGAACACTCTAACCCAACCAAAGAGGAACCCATCTACCACAAGTAAAGAGGAGCACCATTGCCACAGATGGAGAGGAGTCTGCAGACGACAATGAGAGGGGAACCAATGCATGGAAAATAAAGAGTGGACCCTCACTGTAATTAGAGTGGAGCCCCATGCTGCAACTAGAGAAGAGCCTCCTGCACATTGCAACTAGACAGGGGCAGCCTGCAGATCACCACTATAGAGGATCTGCCCAATTGCAACTCGAGAGGAGGCTCCATTACAACTATAAAGACAACCTGAGTCACCTGCTGCAACTCAAGAGGCACCCTGAGTTCACTGTCAGGAGCCATTATGGGAGATCCCACCCATGACAAGGTCATGAGGAAAAAACCTGACACGCAAGGCTGTTCAGGATACAAGGGACCCTCCAGGTTGGCCTCGGCCTCTACCCCACCCTGTATCCTCCCCCCTCTTCTGCTGTTGTTCTTGTTTGCCCTGCTGAAGATTCTTGTGTTTCCTGCCGAGAGGTCTCCTGCTCCTCTTTCACCAAATAAAGACCAACTTAAAACCCTAATTAATAAATCTCCTGGACACTGGTTCCCTATGAAGGGGCCAGGGATGAAGGAAATGTTTCAAGTAAAAACCCTTTTGCTGGCACTCTGGCTTGTTTGGCAGATGCGTACTAATGCACATGACTGCTCACAATACCTTAATCATAAACAGCATAAAGAACCTGGTCACAAAAGGCCTTGATAGGCACAGAGCCTTTCAGGGGGTGAGAAAGCCCTGTTAGAGAACACAAAAAATATTATTCTAAAAGTGGTTATTAGATCAATGTTTGATTGCTGTTATTGCGCTGAGGTTGTGCAATAAAAACTATTGTTAATATAGTTAAGGATTTAAAAAAATAAGAGTTCAGCCCTAGTGTGGAAACAATAAGATAAATGTTAATTATATTCAAGAGTGCTAAAACAGAGGCTGCCTCACCAGAACCACAGAGTCTTTGTATGGTAAACTCTTTAGATAAATATAGCTGAGAACTTTTGCAAAAAGGCTGACATTTGCATTAACAGGATTGTATTTCTACTATGTTGCAACCTGCTGCACCATGGGACTGAAACTTTTCTGTTTTCTGCTAAACTCAAGGCAAAATAGAACAAGAAAGAATAGGCTACGGAAAACAGTTTTGCCTTCACCTAGATCATAAAATGCTAATAGGCCCCAAGGCCAGAAGATAATGTGCAAAGATCCACTATGAAAAAAAGACTCTCATGAACAAAGAAGTATGCAGAAAACACCCTGGTTTCGTGAAGGACAAAACTGACGTAATGTTAAACTAAACTTTGTATGCTTATCTTTCACCTCCCCTTAAAAATGTACTAACTTAGGGTACAAAAGCTAAGGTGAAAAATAAAATCCTGCCAGACTCTGCTGCACATCCCGGTCAAGTCTCTCTCTCTCTCTCTCTCTCTCTCTCTCTCTCTCTCACTCACTCACTGACACCGTTCACCCCAGCAGTTCACCGCTACAATGTTACAGGAATCCTAGGCTGAAAAAAGAAAAGGCACCACTGGCCAAAATGACAGAGGGGTATCCTGGCCAAAACTTAAGCAGATTCCCCAGGCACAACTAGAGTAGAGGACCCTAGGATGTCACAATTAGACAGAAGCCCTTTTGCCGCAGATAGAGACAAGCTCCCTGCAGTAAGTCTAGTGGAGTCCCTCACTACTAGAGAGAAGCAATACCACAAATTTTAGTGAGGAACCGCTAGTGCCAAAAGTAGAAAGGACCTCCCCCATGGAGCCACCCACACTCCAACCAGAAAGGACGCAGCCCTGCTCCTCGAGAGTAGCCTTCCACCTCAACTCCAGAGGAGCCCACCAGACATCGCACATTGAGAGGAGCCCCTCTGCTGCTGTTAGAAATGAACCTCACATGACAAGCAGAGAGGAGATTGCATACCACCACTAGAGAGAATCGGACCCCCACAAACACAGTGTTGAATCCGACCACAAAATTAGAGAAGCAGCATGCCAAAACCAGTGAGGGGCCTCCAGACACTGCAACAAGACAGGATCTGCACTGCACATCCGTGCTAGAGATGAGTCGCCCCAAGAAAACTCGAGAGGAGGCCCAATGACCCTGTTGCAACTTGAGAGGATCCACTAGATCCCTGTTGCCTCTGGAGATGAAGCCTGAGGTTCCTGCCACAACGCAAGAGGAGGCCTGACTGCCCTGTTGCAATGCCAGGGGAACCCCGAGTTCCCACCTGCAACTTCAGAGAAGGCCCTACTCCCCTGTGGCAACTCAAGAAGAAACCCAAGTTCCATGTTGCAACTGGAGACGAACAGCGAGTTTCCTGCTACAACTCAAGAATACCACCACATTCTCTGTCTCAACTCAAGAGGAGGCCTGACTCCCCTCTAGCAACTCTAGAGGAAACCCGAGATCCCTACTGCCTCTTGAGAGGAAGACCGAGTTCCCCTTCTCTACTCAATATGAGGCCGATCCCCCTGCAGTCACTCTAGAGGAACCCCGAGGTCCCCCTCACAACTCGAGAGGAACCTCAAGTTTCCCACCTCAATGCAAGAGGAACCCTGAGTTCCCCGCCACGTCTAGAGTCGAGCCCTGAGTTCCACCCTACAACTCAAGCGGAATACTGAGATCCCGCTGAAATTCAAGAGGAGCTCTGAGTCCCCTCTTGAAACTCGAGATGAACCCTGAGATTCCCACCACAACTGGAGAGGAACCCCAAGTTCCCCACTGCAACTCAATCAGAGGCCAGACTCTCCCACTGCATCTTGAGGGGTGTCCTGAGTTCAATCTCGCAACTTGAGAGGAGGCCCTTCTCCGCTGTTGCAATGCAGGAGAAAGCCCGAGATCCCCATCTCAACTCTAGTGGAAGACTGATTTCCCACAATAACTCAAGAGGAAACCCTAGTTCCCCACTGCAACTTGAGAAGCAGCCCAGCTCCCCCTGCTGCAACTCGAGAGGTAGGTCAAGTTCCCACCTGCAGCTTGAGGGAAAGCCTGACTCCCCTGTGGTAACACGAGAAGAAACACGAATTCCCCACAACTCGAGAGGAGATCTGACTCCCCTGCGACAACTCTAGAGGAAACCTGAGTTCCCAACTCAACTAGAGAGGAGACCTGACTAACTTGTTGCAACTCAAGAGGAAAGCCTAGATCCCCGTCACACCTTGAGTGGAGCACAGAATTTCCCATTGAAACATGAGAGGAACCCTAAGTGGCCTGCCTCCACTATAGATGAGGCCTGATTCCCCTGCAGAGACATTAGATGAATAGCAAGTTTCCCATCACAACTCAAGAGGAATGCCAAGTCACCTGTCACAACTCTAGAGGAAGACAAATTTCCCTGCTGCAACTCAAGAAGTGGCCAAATTCCCATGATGAAACGCCACAGGATTCCCAAGGGGAGCATACTCCAGCACAATCTGACAGGAGGCCTCTACCAGAACAAGAGAGGAAGCCCCATATGACAATTAAATTCCAGAGTCAGGGCTGTGTTCCTAGGTCATACCAGCACTGCCCATGAGTAAGCAGGCTGTGGGAGTGTGTCTGAGAGTGCTGGGTGTAATGCTGCGGTCACCTCATCGAGGTGACATTCCACTGCAAATGGGCCCAAGGTGAGGAATTGTGAGCTGGCCACTTGCTTCAGAAATCCCAAAGGGTGCAGCAAAGCTAGCTCTAGCAGAAGTAAGAAAACAGCAATTGGATGGAGTTTCAAGCAGTGTTAAGGCACCCCGAGAGGAAAATGAGAATTTTTCCCCCTTGGTCTGGTATTCAGGTTCATACAAAGGTGTGTCCCCACAGGATCCAAGAATGCTCCAGACAGACCTAACGTCACTAGAACTCTCCTACAGAGAAAACATGAATAGAACAGACGTTTAGAGGTTGCTTTGACTTTCCCTGTGAGTGTGGGACACCTCCGTATGGTCACGGACTCAGGGGACCTTACCAATGAAAAATGACCTCCAAGTAAGTGCTTCCAAGGAGTGTGCGACTCAGCATGCAGAATGCTAGGAAAGCTATTTTCCTTCGTGGAAGGAAAGACATCAACAGAGAGTGTGTTTTAAAGCCTCTATCTTGCAGGAACTGTTTCGCTTCAAAGACATGAGACATTCATTCAGTCCTGCTCTGAGGACCTAAATTCCAGAGTCAGGGCCGTGTGTCTCCCTGCAATTTCTGAGCCTTGCTAACACATTCCTAGGTCATACCACTACTGCCCATGAGAAGAAGGCTGCAGGAGTGTGTCTGAGAGTGCTGGGTGCAATACTGTTGTCACCTCATCTA